TAACTTGAAGCTTTTCGAAAATATATAGTTTTGTGGACAAGGGAGGTCATCTTGGTTTCCTAATTAACTAATTAAAATATCTGCCAGGTAAACTGCATTTCTACCTTAAGTACGCTAACCAGAATAATTAAAATAGTACAATCAACCTAGCTAAATAAAACAAATATGCTGATATGTTGGGACATCGCAACAAAAAACGCCTCTTCATCAAACAGGTGGATATCTCGTCGAATACACTGTTAGTGTATATCCGTTCATGAGAAGCTGATTTGTCCCAAACTATGGAAGCAAATCAATTAGATTTAGTTTTTCTATTTTTCGCATTTGTGTACGATACCTTCAATTTCTTCCCAATATTGAATGTTTGTCAAAACTGATATTTTCGACTATATTTCTATTTTCTGACAGGTGCGTTCCTTATACCGTACCTCATTGCCATGGTGATTTGTGGTATGCCTTTCTTTTTTATGGAGTTAGCATGGGGTCAGTTTTGCAGTGAAGGGCCAATAACAGCCTGGAAACTGTGTCCTTTGTTCAGAGGTAAGTAAGAATGTGGCACATTTGCAATAATCACGAACTAAAGATGCAGTTGGTCTATTTGTGACTTACCATTGGCTAAAACTTGTCCGTACTAATTTCCATTCCATTTTTCGTTCTTTGTTCAAAATAGCACAAAAGCAAAGAATGAAATGCATTCATTTTCTCGGGCATGCGCATGTATATCAACTTAATTTTCGGTCATTGTTTACAAGGGAAACTAATATGACAATCATACACATATATTTGAATGCTAACAATTTCTCGGAGAGGACTGCAAAACTTCCAATCAACTGAGTTGAAACGAAATTATTTTGCAATGCAATGAAATGTATGTATGTATGTTTTTGCATACGAATGTGTTACGTTCGTTTTCGCTATTTTACAAGCCAAGTCAACTGATATGTTAATAAGTACTTAACGGTACTACTGGTGTGTTGTTTTTGCTTATTGAGCATATATATATAAATGTAAATTTATAGGTGAAAGTTGGAATTGAAGCATATACTAATGCATCGTGGTGGCTTCCTGAGCTCACAGTTTTGAAGCAGTTGATAAACTCTGGCATTTCCAAACTTTACATTCTTATTAGCATTCCATCATATTGTATCAGCGTACACAAAATCTCGTTACTGATAAAACTGGTGCAAAAATGTTCTACTCGGAAAATGTGTATAAAATAAAAACACGTAAAGGCGAAATCATTCAATTTCACCTCAACAATTATTTTTCTATGGTATACACATGAAATTAAAATAAAAAAACTGCAGAATTAATTTATTATTTTGCCTCATATCTAGATTCCTCCTGTTTAAGAAACATAATAGAGTCATGTATTTTAAGTCAAGCTTTTTAAGAGAAGTCTCATCTCCGAGTTTTTATGACTAAATACGACAAATCATCCAGGCAGATGACAATTGATTGTTTCAACTCATTTGTCCTATGTAGAAGGTCCCTACATGAATTGAACACGTGTGATGTCACATTTTAGTTTTAACCAATATCATATATATAACATAAACAGAATCATTTCCTCTCGTGTAGCACATTAATATGAACCTTCGGCTTATATTAACGTTGATGACGCTATATTATAATATGTAAGCCCATGGATGGAGTGGCTCAATAAAGTTTCTTGAAATGCCATTCAATTTAATAAATAAACTGAATCAGAATTTCGTCATTTCAGGCCATGTTTGTAATTATATTTTGATCTCTCAAAGAACTCGAGAATACCCGTTGACGAGGAATAACAGCAAATCGCATGTTCACGCTTCTCCATTTCTGAAATCATCACACTTCATTTTTTCAGATCATTGTTTTTTCAAATTAATTAAGTTTGTCTTTCAAGCGTGCAATAAACTTGCCACTTACTAATACGCACTCGATGAACACATTTACGTCACAACTGTGAATACGACAAAATAACTACTGTGAATAAAGACGCGTTTAAGACCATTAAGTTGAAGTAGGTGTAGTTGTAGATCCATGGACTTTGCCAAAATCTGTTAATGTCAACAGGGCTAGGAAGGTGGCCCACAGTTTACAGCGGGTATGTGAAATTACCCTTTCCAGATCAACGAACACTTTGTACCAACTATGCCACGGCACTGCACTATACACTATACATAGTTCAATACATAAGAACGAATATTATTTTTATTAAGGTCCAATTATTAAAAGAAAGCAATTATAATTAAACGCCGCAAGCATAAATTTTCGGCCTTCACTTCAACCCTGTCTATTGTGGTTTCTACCACACAAAACTGGTCACCAAATTTAACAAGTGCTGTAAACGTACAAATAACTATATTTACAATATTGCAATACTGATGCGAGAAATACGAACTGGCAGTAATCTATCAATAACATAGCAATATCCCCATAGTCACAGTAATATAAACATAACCAGAAAATAACAACTATTTCACATACTGGGTATTTTCACTACCTCAATGCTAACCACATATATTTTTGCTCATTTCAGGTGTTGGTTTTATAATGGTTATAATATCATCTATCACGATAGTCTACTATAACATTGTCATCGGCTATTCTGTGTTATATCTCTTTTCTTCATTTACTTCAAGTGTACCATGGTCAGGGTGCGATAATTGGTGGAACACCAATGCTTGTACGCTTCGTGAATCTGGAGTTAACGATATATTTACCGACAATACACTTGACATTACTAATACAAGTGAAGCTCTGAACTTGACATTGGCAGTGCGTGTCAGCCCCGCTCAACAGTATTGGGAGTAAGTTATCTTCTATTTTCCTCGCTACATTGGGGTATCGTTAGAGGTCTTGTTAATCTTGACAGAACGTAAAATAAAAGACATAACTATTTTCAATCAAATGTGTTGTCAAGTAGCGAAGCGATGTCAAGAAATGTATTAGTGGTATCTCATTTTATGTATGTTACAGGTTACGTATTACATCATAGATATCTTTCTGATTTGTTATTGTGGGTGTTTTTTAATCACATTCTCAACTCCTTTCAAACTGCATGCATTCTTATTGGTGTTCCCACATTTCGTCATTTCATTATAAATTGAAAGCTAATTTATCTAAAAAATTGTCATAGCACTATTATTATGAGTGCATTTAGAGTGTTCGGTATTTGATGTTCAGATCCCGCCTTCATTAAAGATAATATTCCGATAATTGTACTGGTAATGGCCAACTCCGCTAAGCTCAATGCTAAATGCAATTTAGTAGTGGGTATTCGAGATATCCGAAAACCGAATAGGGGTTATTAGTTGAATGATTGTTTATATATTCCTACATTCTTGAAATGTTATTAGTATGTTATTTACACCACGCCCCTAATTTTATGGAGTTTCGCTAAACGTTTGGGTATTCCAACAAGCCTAACAAACGGTTTGTTCTAACTTCGCAGTACCAGACTGTCAGTCGTGGATTCAGTGGAAAAACGCTTGACATCAATGCAGTTTTAATGAAGGTTCGCTTTTACACCTACCAATCTGTTTTTCAAATGACAAACCCAGTTCAATTTATTATTGCTGAGTTTGTGTTTCTAATCTGCAATATACAGACAAACTGAATGTTTAAATGTTAAATAACGTATATATAAAATATATTGGCTAACTTCATTTTCTCTTTCAAATTTTACTTGGTAATACTAGTCTTCTTCACACGCCTTTTTCGCAAATGTCAACGGTGATGAGTCTCCTCAATTCATTTTATCAGAAATGTACATAACAGAGGACGTCTTCTCCCCCACATCATCATTTCCACTCACTCATGTCTAGAACCACTCTCTTTCTATACGTAAGAGTGTGATATCAGAACAATGACAGAGATGATTGCATTCCCATTTTCCTTTTCAAATTTACAGCCGGTAATCCACCCCGAGTGCCCCTCACTTCCAAGTTCAAATATTGATACACGACAACTAACTCCATGGACATATCATAGATCACACTTTCGACTATTGCTTCCTCCACTTGTGTCCTTACCAACAGATGTCGGATGATGAGTCAAGCTGTCCCAACTTTTACTTGTACACCCCTCGGAGATTGGTTCTACCATAGCAATTATTAGTATCCATATGTCCTACTCCTTTCATTCCCTGTGGTTTATATTTCAGTGTCGATCGTACAAGTAGTAGTGTGGTTCAATTCCAACCAACACTCTCCGTCCCAGGAACTGTCTTCCCTGTCAACTACATTTATTACATGGTATCCTGAGGCAATTTATTCTCCTTTTTGGCTTACTTGGGTTTTTCCATAGTAAGTTTTTCTTTGGTCTGGTTTTAACACTCTACTCGCCTCAGTGCAATAAC